CTCTCCGTCTCTGCTTCCTCCGCGCGCTGGCGCTGGCGCTTCGCGGATGCTGCCAATGTGTATCGCGTGGAACGAAGTGGCTCGGTCGGTAGGCTANGTTCGCCGCAAGCGCGGCCTTGGCCGCCCTACTCGCTTCTACAGCAGTGTCCGGTCGCCGTTTCTTCCCGCCCCCCGCCGCTTCCCCGGTTTTCTTTCTCTTCGGGCCCGGGGCGGCCGTGCTCTCCGTCTCTGCTTCCTCCGCGCGCTGGCGCTGGCGCTTCGCGGATGCTGCCAATGTGTATCGCGTGGAACGAAGTGGCTCGGTCGGTAGGCTATTGCTCGATAGGCGATCTTTTTATTTTTTTTCCGGCGTTTCCCTTTTTTCTTTGCGGCGAAAAAAATTGGTGAGGCTTTTTTTTTCGGCGACGTTCGGCGACTGCATACAAGCTGGGCCAGCCAAGAAGCTAACATCCAGTCTTCCAGCCATAAATTTTGAAGGAATCAGAATTGGAACGAGCTCGGCACATCTGCTCAATCAGCCAATCACAGCGGATTTGCCCATGCCTCTCGAAATCGTGTTGAACACATTCTCTCCAAAAAAGATAACCCTCCGCATTTTATCTGGGTTTTAAGACTGGGGAAAACAAATTATGAAACGCTTTTTTTTTGCGGCGGAATTTCATTTTTTTTGAAATTGTGCACAACGGATGCACACAGCACCCGCTGGCACCGAGGAGTGCACAGCATGGAGAGCCTAGTAGCAGCAGTCACACGCAATGGCTGGCAGAGAACCTCTGAACCTGTATGCTATCCAGAGAGGTCTAAGGGGAAGTGGCGGCTACGGCTCATGTTCACAAGCCGGAAAGGAGACAGGGCAACGAAGAAGTACGGCCCCTTGTGCAACACAGAGCAGGAAGCGCTTTGTGGCAGCCTTGCCTTCAGGTACAGCTGGGAGGGCAGCCAACGTGGTCAGCCCTGCGAGGTCAGCAAGGAGAATCTAGTCCCACCTGTTGCAGCGGGTACTACGCTTCCAGCAGGCAAGTCGTGAACTGCGCAGTTGTACACTTGTACAAACACGATGTGGACATGATCATGCAATTTTGATTTTTTTTGTTTTTTCTGGGGTCGGAGCAACGGCAGCACACGTGACACCGTGCCAGCGACTGCTGCTGTACCTACTGCACGCGGCCAGTCATGCCGCAGGCTGGACTTACGTCGAGTATGTTCTTTTAGGGACGTCAAGTAGGTGGCACTCTTATAAAAGAGATGGCGGCGTATGTTGATTTGTACACGACCACATTTTTTGGGAGATGTGGTCGTCAGCCGAGATTTTTGAATTTTCGACGGCATGCTTCGCACGCACAAGTGTAATCGCCCAACGTGATATCCACGTTCACATGAGTTGCCTTCATTACTCGTCTGTTGTTCTGGTACTAGAGGCGCCTACAGCAGTACGCACAACATTTTTTGCTACAATATGGTACCTGTACACCCCGATGTGTTTGCTGCAACGATGTGCTGCCGTATATGACGTAAGATA